TTATCTACTCTTTTGAGGGAGGTTCTCTTTTCTGAGTTAAGAGGATTGGAGTTAACACCATCAAAAAAGGAAGCCTCCCTCAGCAGATTTTCAAAAGAAATCCTCAATGTTTTTCTCCTAAAGAATTCTGTAAGTGTCACATATATCTACCTTTGTTGAGTTAAGAAGTAAAGTTTTTATACAAACAACTAATTAATCATTAGTTTAATGGTGCTCCTTCTGCTATGTTTTCCTACAACAATGTTATTTGGGCCTTGTTACTTTTGGTTTTCTTTAAATATTTGCATTATTTAAAACATTTTCTTATATATTTCTTATATACTGTAGGATAACGCTAATACTGAGACAAGCATTTATTAATGTTTGCCAGTTGTTGTGCTAGTTATGTTTTTATGTTTCTGATGTCACACCAAAGTTTTACATGTTATATGTTATATGCCAGTTTTGCTCTTTGCCTACTTCCCAAAAACTATTTGGAAAATATTGTTTTTATAAAAAACATTTTTTTTGTGAATTTATTTTATATTGTCAGGGAATTCCAAAAACCAACCACATAAGCATCCTTTTGTATTTTTTCACAATTCTGTATCTCTCAATAATAACGTACTGACTTAAGAAATGACATGTTTAACTCTGTGACTTGAGGCAAATCAAACATCATTCCAAAGTTTTTTTTTTCTAGACTGCCATAGTAACATATTTGATGAGCAAGCAACAGGCTCCAAATGAAAATGAAAGTGTCTCCCCAGCCATTGTTTTCCAAAAGGCATCTACATGTACTACTACTCAATGTGTCAAGGAAAACCATTTCAGAACATGACTCTGGAATGAGTAGCACTTGTGTCTTGTTTTTTCTCTTTTTTCTCTTTCTATCAGGCTCAAAACTTTAACATACTGCGCCACACTCCCAACAAAAGAAAAATCCAGTTTTAAAAGACTGTTTTCAAATTGCAGTGATACAGTCTGAAGGGCCAAACTAGTCATAATTTACATCTTTAGCACATGCTATTTGTTTCGAAAGCTAATGTTTTATGTACAGTATATAGGTTTGTTTGGTTTGGTTGTTGAATGGATTGGTTAATACATACTGTACAGTTAGTGGTGAGAAAATGATGATTTTCACTAAATGTTGAGTTATCAGTTTGTTGCTCTGTGGTACACATAAACAAATGTGATACAGTATACATACTGTAGAAATGCTCTATGTTTAGAAACCAATTACATGTTAGAAAACTACAGTAGGTCTGTATTCATGTATACCAATATAGTATGAACGAACACCTTAATATAATATTCACAAAAAACACAATATATTTTGCCCAATATACTAGGAGCAGGTGTTTTGGCCTAAACCCAGTCTGAAGTACTGTTGTAATAACAACAATGTCACAATGTCTTTATATGTACTGTAAGTTGTTTTGATAAAAACATTAGGCAAATTCATGTAAACCAAGGAAGTATGCATACAAGCCAATGTGTAAAAAACAAAATTCCAACAATAGCCAGCTATACACTAAACAAAACATATACTTCAGACAAACATGCAAACGGATCATGTCAATTTTTATAGCCAATTTTTATAAACCTGTTTGGTCCCTTATATTACTGAGAAGAAATAGTTCCTGCTGATGCTTAGAATCCATTATCCATTTATTTGTATTCACACCTAAAGAGTAATATATACTACATGTATATAAATGCAATGCAGAAAAAATATTAAACATTTTAGCTTTTTTTCAAAGCATTTGCAATGTACTGTGCATACTGCTGAATAGTATAATGTAGGATATATTATCTACATGATTAATAGCATGAAACTAGCTTTAACCTCTGGTGAACCTCATCTACTTAATCATTTGATAAGATAACGTTGCTACCATTAGTATCATGGTTGCCTCGAGACACAAAACAGCATTCCAGCCACCTTCAAAAAGCATATCCTGTGAAATGACTTCATCCTGCGTAATGTCCTTTGACTCATTGAATAACAATGAATTCCCTCCGTGTGGAAAAATGAAAGGTAGAAATTCCATAACAAATTGTTTTTTGTCCACTTGAGTAAATATAAGACATTAATTCAAGCATGGTTAGCTCTTTCTTTCTAACCTTTGAACAATGTGTTGTGGTGCCTCACAGTATAGCAGATGCTTGTAAACCGTTTTGCTTGGTGGCTTGAGAGGTTTTTTTTAGAAATAATATAAAAGCTCTTCATTTACAAAAAAAGAAACTTATTGATGCCTGAAATATTAATGAGCACTGATTCCTACAGCCAATCTCATTTACATTTTTATGGGCGAGAGCTCCACAAATTATTTTCTAGGATGAATGTTCAAAAGTGAATTCTAGATTTTTAATGTTCCTTCCCAGGGGCCTGAGCATCAGTCAAGTCAAAGGTCTGTATTGCCCTTGGAGGAAGTAATCTTACTTCACCATACTGGCAAAAAATGGATGGTCAGATGAGGTTTTTATTGCTTTAGTAAGTATGTACAAAATGAAAAACAGCTTAAGGTTTTTTTAAATACTTCAAAAAAGAGATAATAAACAGCATACTGCAAAGTTCTATTTTATAATTGATTACATTTTTTTTAATGCAATGGAGCTACAGTACCTACTGTACTGTGATTGAGCCCACTGAATAACCATGTTCTGCAGCACTGTAAGCAATTCAAGGAAATTAGAAAATCAAAGTGTACCAATAAATTTGTATATAATATTTATTTTTTAATAACTTATTTAACACGGAGAATTACATTGCAGATTAATTGAAAATGGGGATATGCCCCCAGCTGATGTATATTCTAAGTGGTGAATTGTAATGTGATTGCCATTTCAAACATTGTTACAAAATAGCATCACAATAGCAGAATGAAGCTTGCATTCTTACTGCGTCATACTCAATACATTTATAGTATTTGCCTATTTTCCACAAAATGACACCACTTTATGATACCTTCTCTAGAACTTTACTTTCTTTCTTATAAAGTTTATGAAACTGTTAGATACATCATTGTGCCTGGGAATAGTTTCCCTTTAAGATCATATACTGTATTATCATGTGTTAAGTGTAGTATACATGTATACAGTTCAAGGAATAAAATGGGTGAAGTAATTTTGCATTTTAATGTTAATTTAAATTGCCTGTACATACCTCCTTGTGAAGTCAAATACCCCTTTATAAAGACGACAAACAATTTGCATTGTTGTGAGAGAAGTGTGGAGTGTGGTTAGTGTGGACAATATCAGGAAACTATCAAGAAAATCATGGTGCCAGAGCAACAGGGTAAGGATCCTGTCTCCTTGACCAGCTTTTTTAGGCACTGCAGTGACAAGTTTTTGAAGATTTGATGTCTCATGTAGTGATGTCTTTCACCAAATTAAACTTCCATAGTCATCATTTGGAAAAGGAGCAGTGTAGGAACAAAATGGAAAATTTGTCATCCTTGCATGTTGTGCTCACATACAGCATTAGTTTAAAGTGTGAAGTTTCAAAGGAACCTCTACTTGTTCCCACACACTGAATTATTTATGTTCTCTGTTAGTGGCCTCTGTAATCTGCCTTAATTCATGAAATGAACCTCATTATTGCACAGGTCAAGCATGTGGAACTTTAGTTTCAGATCTGTGAAACTGTTTATCTCAAGAACAAATGGTTAATGGAATGATAATCAGCTAGACGTACAGCAGAAGGCTACTTACCACATAAGGTGTTACTGCCCAAGATGCTTAATTAGTCATGGTGTGTGTCTTTTTGTCAGGAAGAGACAATGACATAAGCCTGAGTGATGATGACTTTGCCTGTTGTCACTACTGATCTGTTTACTAATATCGTCAAGGACTGCCTTGGTATACAGTCATTTATGTTTCTGTTTTGGATATGAAGTGCCAGATTTTACAGAAAGTGTTAAAGTGTAAAACCACTTCCAATGTGGAATTACGAATTGAAACACTTCTCCAATGCACCCATGTGCAGAGCCATTTTGACACATTGCAAACTCCCAGTGCCTAATAGTTAAATAGTCTCTTTAAAATCATCACCAACCAAAAATCAGGGGGATATTATTATTTTTTAATTAAACCAACATTAAACTGAAATAGAACATTAAGAGCCATGTTTGAATAAAAAATCTCCAGGACTTATTTATTCAGGACTGGAAACCCCTGGCTAAGATAAACACTTCTGACGCAAGCATACAGTAGCTATTGTATAAAAAAGTCCTTCTTGTTGTGGGATATTGGAGTTCATCTCTGTTTTCTTTCATCTTCACAGGTTGGCTGAACTATTTGCCAACTGTGTTAGCTTACTTAAAAAAATGATATATTGTACCTGTACATGGGAGCATTCACACAGTTTTAACGGCATCCCCTGGGGATAAAATTAAATTCTAAGAAATATGTGCTTCATTATCATGTGCTCAACCAGACATAACTTTACTAAAATACATTTTATCATTTGTAAGGTCTTCCCAACAGTAAGTGTTAAGTGAATTTAAAGACACTCTGTATATTTGGCTGTCACATTCACAGCTGTAAATACAAACAATCCATCAGCTGGCAGTAAGGCTTACTTGGGAAAAGTGACTGCAACAGATTGTTGGGAGGAAAGAATAGCATATACAGAATAGGTAATCAACATGTTTATACTTTTCTGCATTTCCAAGTAATTTCATGTAACATTTGGTGATGTATCTTCATTGTACATGCCAAATCTAGGCAAGGCTTTTCTTTTCTCTTCTATTCTGAAATGTCCCAAGGCTGAACAGAAAATAAAATTCTGCAGTTTAAAAGAAATGGAAGTAATAGATGTTGATTAGCATGCTTACAGCCATCAAGTTTCTGTACTAAAAAACAATTGCTCAAAACTTTCTGATTATAAACTGGTGTATCTTTCCTCTCATGCATGAAGGGGATGTGAGCAGGATGTTCTCTTAAAATCCAGTGATCCATCAAAGAAATTGCCTTAAACCTTGCACAATATCATTCTCCCCCTTTCTCGCTTTCAGAATGACTCCTGGGGTAAGCAGTATTCATATGCCCTCTTCAAAGCCATGAGCCACATGCTGTGCATCGGGTATGGTGCCCGCGCACCTGTCAGCATGTCTGACCTCTGGATTACCATGCTGAGCATGATTGTGGGTGCCACCTGCTATGCCATGTTTGTGGGTCATGCCACCGCCCTTATCCAGTCACTGGACTCTTCACGCCGGCAGTACCAAGAAAAGGTAAACACACTCTTTTTTCCATCTGGGATCTGTTCTAACAATATGTTGTGAGCCCCACGCAGCTCTTGTCTGTCCATGATAGAACCTGCAAATGCACGACTGTTTTTTCTGTTCTTGTTTAATTACCTAAAGTAGATTTTTCTAATGAGCAAAAAAAAAAAGAATTTCTAACATGACACGCTATGTTATCCCACTACTTCACTGACTTTTAGTTTGTTTCCACATAAACTTGGGGCACTTACTGTACTTTGTGGAGTTTGCATATGTGCATATGGGTTTTCTCCTGGTGCCCTGGTTTCCTTTCATCTCCAAAGACAAGCTAACCACAGTAGATTTGATTGGCTGCCCTATGTTTTGTCTTTCTTTCATTGATCTGAGATGGACTGGCACACTGTTCATGGCAAGAATGGTCATATGATTTCAGTCCTGAACGTGTGTGTTTCCTCACAAAGGTAGAGTGAGAAATTAAAGATAGATAGCTATCCCCCAGGATTAAGCCTTTCAATTTTACTTTTTATGGAATATAATAATGGGTTGGTAATAAAAAGCAATAAAATCAAATTATAGTTTTTAAGGCCAAGTCTATTATGTTGTGTGCATTGTGAATTCATTAGGGATTTATATTTAGTGTCTAAATTACTTCTAACCCCACTGAGTATTTACTTATGTTTGTTTCTGAAAATGATACTGCTGTGACAATATTTATGGCTAGATTTTCTTTCAGGATGTTTCAAGTACATTTCTATCCAGCACAAACTGATTATTTTGAATAGTTTTCATTTGCATTACAGATTAAAATATTAACAAACTATATGTTTAAAATGTAGTCTATATTCAATTCTACACACTTTCATAGTAAAACCAGTACTACTAGCAAAATATGTTTTATTTAAATTCCCATTATCAAGTTGGAAAATGTTGGAAAAGGCAAATTCATTGTACTGTAGCTAAATGTAAGCGTCATCATCAGTGCAAAGAACTTATACTTATACAGGCATAAACATACTGTAAATCATGTGCCACTTCCTTAATCAACCTGGCTTTTGGCTTTTCAATGAAGTCTTTTTCTGATGTGGACTCTTAACACATTTGACAATGTATTCTCCTACCTATGTCTTGAAGCATTATTTGTAAATCTTTGCCAACTGCGTTCACTATACAGTAGCTCAACAGACAGCTATACTAAAGTTTAATGAAGATTTTGATAATAACAATGATATCCTTGGGTGTGAATCCTTAGCTCTGTTTTTATTAAGTCAGTTGGGCCATTTGGGAGCATTCTATTTTGGTTTTGGGTCTAAACTCTATCAGTTGTACCATTTTGTATTGATTTATGTTATTGTTGAAACCCATATTGTAAGAAGGTATTTTCTGTGTAATGATAACAAATTGCTAATGATGTACTTTGTAATGTACTAAATATTATACAGTATACTGTAAATCCTCAATTCTTTCATTTCTAAAAGATGGAAGAATGTAATTTACTAAGCTTTGCTAATGTCTTAATAAAGGAAGAACAAACTCAAAAGAATAGCTAGTGCTATAATTGTGCTATAATTTACGCAGACAGAATTCTTTGTGGTCTTCTTATCAACAATATAAAATAATATGTATTTATCATACTGAGTATAGAGCACATATATTCTGCTATTGTTCCTTAATGGATGAAAGTTCAATTGGAAAACTGCTATCTTATTAACTGAAATAATAAAAATAGTGATGAGGCAGCCAAAGTGCAGGGCTTTCTGAAGAATTTTGCTTAGAGTAATGTGCAAAAGAAGGGTTTGCAGTAGTTTTTGTAATAAATGTCCCTGTAGTCTGCTGAATAGGATGCTGCTGCCAGCTCTAAATGTCATTTGATCACTCAGGAAGAAAGACATTGAACAGCCATGATCAGTTTGACTGGCTCTAATCTAGCTAGCCAACTTGTGTGTCGTGGGCTCCACATCCCTGATCCAAACCCTGAGGCTGATAACTTTTGCTGAGCTGTAGCTAATCAGTTTATGTTCTGAATAATAAAATGGAAAACCAATCCCCCCACACACACTAGATCTAATGTTTGCACTAGACTAGGCATTGCTTAACAAACACAAAAGTTCATAATGTGGAAGTATTTTTTTACATTTTGTATCTTTCAATTTCTCTTCAAAATGGTAGACATCAGGATTTTATCAGGATTTATTAAAGTTTTTTATTTGTTTTATTTGACTGTGTTTTCCCCATTTAATTCCCATTTTGTTCAAATTTTGTGCAGCTATTCGGTGTTATATTGCAAATGCATTAGAATGTTTTCATTTCCTAAGCTAGAAAATAAGCATTAATTTTTTGACAAACTATGATCCAATTTATCACAGATTTAAACAAATCATCAGAGGTTTTTAATTTCATGTCTTAGGTTGCCATCTGTTACTATTAAATATTTCAATCTCTTGAACTGGCATAAAGAAAATATAAAAAAATCCATCCATCCACTTCAATAATTAGCCAAGATAGGATACACCCTGTATCTAACCTGACAATTGCTACATGTCCATGACAACTATTTTGGTAGTGTGGTGGTAGGGGTGGGAAAATACAAACAGGTTGAACTCCAGTTCAGCAGTAAAGATACTGTATAATATGGGGCTTTATTTACAGTGAAAAAAAATGCCTAATATTTACAAACAAAACTAAAAGTCATTAGATAAACGTTGAAATGGTGTGGTAAGGGGAAAGCAAGTCAACAAGAAATAGCGCACACCTACCTCATAACACAAAAACAACTAGCTGAATATGATCCTCCTTCAACAAAACACTTATGCTATAACCAAGAAAATGACTAGTTTTCTCAACTCCAACTCCCAACCAAGATAATTTATCAATCATTTTTTTAAATCCTGACCTCTGCTCACTCACCTTACCAAACGGTAAACATGCAAGCAATTTAATGTCAGGATACACTTGTCAGAAACTGAGTGATGCACTCATACTGCACTCATACTGTACACATGCATACAGAATACAAGTTAACACTTCCTGTTAATCCCTACTGCATGAATTTGGACTGTGAGAGAAAATGTGAATGATGCAATTAAATGAAGTCGCTGCTGTTTTAAAGGCTATAAAAACAAATGCGTATACAATATTTAATAGTTTGCATGGAACACATAAAGATAGGTAACATTAAAGCAGTCCCCTTTTTCATCTGTCTCTCTCTTTTGGTTGACATGGAATGGTAGAATTTGTTAATCAATTAGGTAGCACCTCTGTTCCATTGTGTGTAGTTGTTCCATTGTGAGCAGTGATTAGGGATTCTGGTTTTGTAATTGGAAGGTGAAGGGTTCACAACACAGGTGAGAAATTGCTATTGTACATTTGAACAAGAATTCACCCAAATTGCTTCAGTAAATACACAGCTCATTTATAGATACTGTACATCTATA